CGAACCATAAGGGCTAGAGACACGGGGTTTTCACCCACGCACTCCTCCGGACCTGGGCTACCACCGGGGTGTGCTTTGCTCCCGCTCAGATCCGGGCCTGGGCGCCCATTCCCGGGGGAAGAAAGCCCCGCTTTCCGGGCTCCTCAAAGCCGAGCCAGGGGGGCTACAGACACGGGGGTGGGACCCAGGGACTCCCCTGGTCCCGGGGTACCCGCAGTGTGAATTTGACGCGCGGGGGACCAAGGACCAGAAAGTTATGGCCCTTGGAAACCACCGGGGGACCGTGCCTCTGCCATCCGCCCAAGAGCGCTCCTTCTGGGGGAGGAGAACCTCGGCTTACATGGCTCGTAGAAAACGAACCATAAGGGCTAGAGACACGGGGTTTTCACCCACGCACTCCTCTGGTCCTGGGCTACCACCGGGGTGTGCTTTGCTCCCGCTCAGATCCGGGCCTGGGCGCCCATTCCCGGGGGAAGAAAGACCCGCTTTCCGGGCTCCTCAAAGCCGAGCCCAAGGGGGTAGAGACACGGGGGTTGGACCCAAGGACTCCCCTGGTCCAGGGGTACCCGCGGTGTGAATTTGACGCGCGGGGGACCAAGGACCAGAAAGTTATGGCCCTTGGAAACCACCGGGGGACCGTGCCTCTGCCATCCGCCCAAGAGCGCTCCTTCTGGGGGAGGAGAACCTCGGCTTACATGGCTCGTAGAAAACGAACCATAAGGGCTAGAGACACGGGGTTTTCACCCACGCACTCCTCTGGTCCTGGGCTACCACCGGGGTGTGCTTTGCTCCCGCTCAGATCCGGGCCTGGGCCCCATTCCCGGGGGAAGAAAGACCCGCTTTCCGGGCTCCTCAAAGCCGAGCCCAAGGGGGTAGAGACACGGGGGTGGACCCAAGGACTCCCCTGGTCCAGGGGTACCCGCGGTGTGAATTTGACGCGCGGGGGACCAAGGACCAGAAAGTTATGGCCCTTGGAAACCACCGGGGGACAGCGCGCCTGCCATCCGCCCAAGAGCGCTCCTTCTGGGGGAGGAGAACCTCGGCTTACATGGCTCGTAGAAAACGAACCATAAGGGCTAGAGACACGGGGTTTTCACCCACGCACTCCTCCGGACCTGGGCTACCACCGGGGCGGGCTTTGCTCCCGCTCAGATCCGGGCCTGGGCGCCCATTCCCGGGGGAAGAAAGCCCCGCTTTCCGGGCTCCTCAAAGCCGAGCCAGGGGAGCTACAGACACGGGGGTGGGACCCGGGGACTCCCCTGGTCCCGGGGTACCCGCAGTGTGAATTTGACGCGCGGGGGGCAAAGGACCAGAAAGTTATGGCCCTTGGAAACCACCGGGGGACCGTGCCTCTGCCATCCGCCCAAGAGCGCTCCTTCTGGGGGAGGAGAACCTCGGCTTCCATGGCTTGTAGAAAACGAACCATGGGTGCTAGAGACATGGGGTTTTCACCCACGCACTCCTCCGGACCTGGGCTACCACCGGGGCGGGCTTTGCTCCCGCTCAGATCCGGGCCTGGGCGCCCATTCCCGGGGGAAGAAAGCCCCGCTTTCCGGGCTCCTCAAAGCCGAGCCAGGGGGGCTACAGACACGGGGGTGGGACCCGGGGACTCCCCTGGTCCCGGGGTACCCGCAGTGTGAATTTGACGCGCGGGGGGCAAAGGACCAGAAAGTTATGGCCCTTGGAAACCACCGGGGGACCGTGCCTCTGCCATCCGCCCAAGAGCGCTCCTTCTGGGGGAGGAGAACCTCGGCTTCCATGGCTTGTAGAAAACGAACCATGGGTGCTAGAGACATGGGGTTTTCACCCACGCACTCCTCTGGTCCTGGGCTACCACCGGGGTGTGCTTTGCTACCGCTCAGATCCGGGCCTGGGCGCCCATTCCCGGGGGAAGAAAGCCCCGCTTTCCGGGCTCCTCAAAGCCGAGCCAGGGGGGCTACAGACACGGGGGTGGGACCCGGGGACTCCCCTGGTCCCGGGGTACCCGCAGTGTGAATTTGACGCGCGGGGGGCAAAGGACCAGAAAGTTATGGCCCTTGGAAACCACCGGGGGACCGTGCCTCTGCCATCCGCCCAAGAGCGCTCCTTCTGGGGGAGGAGAACCTCGGCTTCCATGGCTTGAAGAAAACGAACCATGGGTGCTAGAGACATGGGGTTTTCACCCACGCACTCCTCGGTCCTGGGCTACCACCGGGGTGTGCTTTGCTACCGCTCAGATCCGGGCCTGGGCGCCCATTCCCGGGGGAAGAAAGCCCCGCTTTCCGGGCTCCTCAAAGCCGAGCCAGGGGGGCTACAGACACGGGGGTGGGACCCGGGGACTCCCCTGGTCCCGGGGTACCCGCAGTGTGAATTTGACGCGCGGGGGAAGGACCAGAAAGTTATGGCCCTTGGAAACCACCGGGGGACCGTGCCTCTGCCATCCGCCCAAGAGCGCTCCTTCTGGGGGAGGAGAACCTCGGCTTCCATGGCTTGTAGAAAACGAACCATGGGTGCTAGAGACATGGGGTTTTCACCCACGCACTCCTCTGGTCCTGGGCTACCACCGGGGTGTGCTTTGCTACCGCTCAGATCCGGGCCTGGGCGCCCATTCCCGGGGGAAGAAAGCCCCGCTTTCCGGGCTCCTCAAAGCCGAGCCAGGGGGGCTACAGACACGGGGGTGGGACCCGGGGACTCCCCTGGTCCCGGGGTACCCGCAGTGTGAATTTGACGCGCGGGGGGCAAAGGACCAGAAAGTTATGGCCCTTGGAAACCACCGGGGGACCGTGCGCCTGCCATCCGCCCAAGAGCGCTCCTTCTGGGGGAGGAGAGGACCGCAGCAGCAGGGTCAGGAGGCACGCTGCTCCATACCCCCGTGCTTACGGCCATACCACCTTGAGAATGCCCGATCTCGTCTGATCTCGGAAGCTAGGCAAGGTCGGGCCTGGTTAGTACTTGGATGGGAGACCGCCTGGGAATACCAGGTGCTGTAAGCATTTTGCCCCTGGAGCTCGGGCCTGGGGGCGGGCAGGTCCGCCAGGGGGGGTTAGGGTTAGGTGTGGGGAAGCCCTGGTTCTCCAGGGGGGCCATGTGCAGGCGTGCGGGCGGCCTGGATCTCCATGGGGGGTAAGGTCAGGTGTGCGGAAGGCCTGGACCTCCAGGGGGGCTGTGTGCAGGTGTGGGGGCGGCCTGGATCTCCATGGGGGTTAAGGTTAGGTGTGGAGAAGCCCAGGACCTCCAGGGGGGCTATGTGCAGGCGTGGGGGCGGCCTGGATCTCCATGGGGGTTAGGGTTAGGTGTGGGGAGGGCCTGGATCTCCATTCGGGTTAAGGTTAGGTGTGGGGAAGGCCTGGACCTCCAGGGGGGCCATGTGCAGGCGTGGGGGCGGCCTGGATCTCCTTGGGGGTAAAGGTTAGGTGTGGGGGAGGCCTGGACCTCCAGGGGGGCCATGTGCAGGCGTGCGGGCGGCCTGGATCTCCATGGGGGTTAAGGTTAGGTGTGGGGAGGGCCTGGATCTCCATTCGGGTTAAGGTTAGGTGTGGGGAAGGCCTGGACCTCCAGGGGGGCCATGTGCAGGCGTGGGGGCGGCCTGGATCTCCATGGGGGTTAGGGTTAGGTGTGGGGAAGGCCTGGATCTCCATGGAGGTTAAGGTTAGGTGTGGGCAAGCCCAGGACCTCCAGGGGGGCTATGTGCAGGCGTGGGGGCGGCCTGGATCTCCATGGGGGTTAGGGTTAGGTGTGGGGAAGGCCTGGATCTCCATGGAGGTTAAGGTTAGGTGTGGGCAAGCCCAGGACCTCCAGGGGGGCTATGTGCAGGCGTGGGGGCGGCCTGGATCTCCATGGGGGTTAGGGTTAGGTGTGGGGAAGGCCTGGATCTCCATGGAGGTTAAGGTTAGGTGTGGGCAAGCCCAGGACCTCCAGGGGGGCTATGTGCAGGCGTGGGGGCGGCCTGGATCTCCATGGGGGTTAAGGTTAGGTGTGGGCAAGCCCAGGACCTCCAGGGGGGCTCTGTGCAGGCT